GGGTTCTGGGGGCTTTGAGGAAATGTCAGGGGTCTAAACAGACCCTTGCCATTTCCCTTTTGAAATAGAAAAAGACATTGAGGACACAGAGTCCTCTGCCCATGCAGTGGGAATGCGAGGAGAAGCTGTGTTGGACGTCTGGCGCCCCTGTTGCCAATGGCGCCCTGTGCTCGCCATGGTAACAGGGGCGAGGGGGCGCAGCCAGGCTGGCCCTGGCTACGCCCCCTCTTAGCTGCGCCTGAGGCGAGTGCCTCACTCGCCCCATGGTAGCTACAGCCCTGCCCATAGCCTTCGATAGAAGCTCCTACAAGACACCTAAGAAATGGCTCATAACAAGCCTATCCCCCGACCTCCCCCATTGGCTAAAACACACAAAAGGTTAAGTCTGAGAGAGAGCCTACAGGCCACACTGGTGACTAGTCCTTTGTCCTATCCCGACTTTTTTTTGGGCCCCACCTGCAGAGTACAGATCCACAATAAGATGCAGTAAGTTCTCATGGGGTTGATGAGTCACATTACAAGGCCCCAACATCTTTGCTGACACGATAACTGCAGACTAGGTGGTCGACATACTGGTAGATGTTCCCAATGATGAGACCTTTACAGAAGAAGAGGCCAGCAGTAGTTGGGTACATCATCTTCTGTAACATAGAACAACGACGTTTCGGGGAAGCAAACCAGCAGTGTATAACCAGTGCTATTAGGGATGCGCCGATAAATTGGCCGCCCAAACATATGGGCCGAAAATGGCACTTTTGGCTAAATGCCATTTTTCTGCCGATACAGCTGCGCATCCGTGATATCTTTCCTCCCCACTGGGCGCTGCTCTGTGTCCCAGTGGTGAGGAGAGAAACTGTGAGAGCCGGCCGAAGGCTGAAAGAGGAGAGCGCCGTGAGCGGCCGGCGTCTCTCCTCCAACACCGCTCAGCCTCCTATCGCGGTCCGGCACAGCCGTGTGGGGGCGGAGACAGGCCATGCTGTCACAGGAGGCTGAGCTCTCCTCCCTAAACAGCTCGCTCAGCCTCCTATCACTGTCCGGCAGAGCCGTGTGGGGGCTGAGACAGGCCATGCTGTCACAGGAGGCGGAGCTCTCCTCCCTGCACCGCTCGCTCAGCCTCCTGTGACAGCATGTCAGGATGGAGAGCGAGAGCAAACACTCAGCGATCAGTGATCGCTGAGTGTTTGTACATAATTGAGGACAGAGTATGGTTACTATATCCTCAATTATGAATGAATGGGAAGTGATCTATATCATCATCTACATCACTTCCTGTCCATTCATGATTGTGGTTATAGTAACTCATACTCTGTCCTCATGTTATGAATGATCAGGAACACTCAGTATAGAGAATTCCTGTAAATTCATAACTGAGGATACACAAAAAGAGATTGAGGGCTCTGTGTGTCTCTGAGGGCTCCGTGTGTGTCTCTGAGGGCCCCGTGTGTGTCTCTGAGGGCCCTGTGTGTGTCTCCGAGGGCTCTGTGCGTCTCCGAGGGCTCTGTGCGTCTCCGAGGGCTCTGTGCGTCTCTGAGGGCTCTGTGCGTCTCCGAGGGCTCTGGGCTTCTCTGACGC